TCAATAGGGATAAGGAGAAGAAATAATCACCGTAATCAATTAATAAGCCACGATCTGGATCTTCCTCGCACCCTCTTCGGAGATGGATTTCGTCACTGGTGGGTTCTTGGCGATTCTCTTGTCGCTCGCAACAACCACGAAACTGAGATGAGAAAGCGATGAGATGATCACCCTAACCGGCTGGTTATCGATGATTTGAATCTACACCGCGCTATCACCAGATCTCCTCTTTGTCGGAGAGCGACTCCCATAACCGTCGGCGGCAAGTTATCGATGATTCCCTGGTCGCTCGCAATGACTTCGGGTTTGAGATGAGAGAGAGGGGGGGGGGGAAGGAAAGGAAGAGATGGGATGAACTGAGAGAACTGAGAGAGAAGAGGAAGAGTGATACATTGATATATCCCATCGTTTTTTAGTCTAAAATTAATCTTGATGGGAAACGAAAGAAACCACTATGAGAAGACCTCCCTATTCGCTAACCCTCTCTCTCATATCTTTGCAAGCCAAAAAGCTGCGTCAATCAAAAGGGTCTGTCTCGCATCACCTCTGTACCGCGTACCCAAAAAATCGATGGCCACTGAACCCACCCTGTGAGAGAGAAGGACTGGGAGAGAGACAGGAAGGACGATAGGGGATACGGTGGTGGACATTAGCCGCGACTCTAGGCCGACGCGACACGCGAAGCAGATGCAGGCAGCAAGAGGGAGAGGATCAAATGACCACGCAACGGCGGCAGAGGGCCAATGCACCACGCGGCAGGCAGTCAGCAACCCTGGGCCCAGCCAAGCCAACCAACCAATCAGAACAAAATGAATAGTGCTTTTGGGTCTAGGTGAACAGTCCATTGTGTCTAGGTGAACAGGGTTCGGAGATTAGTGGGATTAACTCTTTTTAATTTAATTGCAGTTTGGGTCGATTTTGTACGTGATAGCAACGGGGCGGGCGGGTAATACCCGCATGAGTATAGGGCGGGATAGGTCGATCCGTTCTTACATGTTAAACACACGTAAATTTTTACTTTTTCGATAAAACAAAGGGGAAAACAATTTATGAATGAAGAAGAGTGATAATAGAATGGATAATTGAGTCTAACTAGTTGGAGAAAAGTCAAAATAGGAAAAATATGAATAGATACTGTAAGAAATTGAGATAGAATGAGCAAAAAAGGGGCGGGAAGGTCGGAAGTAGATACTCATGCCTTGTTCACGCTATTGCGGGTCAGGTAATTTTCGTCCCATCGCGGGTCAGATCGGGTAATACCCGCGGGGCGGATTCAAATTGCCATCACTATGTACCAGGGTGGTTGAACCAAACAGTTTTAAAATCACAAGGTACTAATGAGTCGAATGGCTTGACATTCGGTTCAGAGAAAGCTCGTTTGATACTCGAGTCATTAACTAAAGATCCGAGATTAGCTCAGTCTAATTCGAATCGCGAGGCAGCTCGTCCCGGTCGCTGATAGAGTTCAACTCGTGAACTAGCTCATTTTTTAGCTCAAGAGTTGGCTCCTCAAAGTGGCTAGTGATCATGAGTGAATCGATTTATAACTTATAAGTTGGCTTGTTCATAATTAAAGGTTTGTTAGGAACTCACCATATATGAAGTTTGAAACTTTGAGTATGTGAGCAAATATGTGTCAATGTTAATTGAAAAGAGAAATTAGGTATTGTATATTGATTAGATACTAATTTCTAATGTTGTCAGAACCAAACCGGAGTATGACCCGGTAATGTGAACGACTCGCGCTTTAGTAGTCTAACTGGCATTAGACCGTTACAAACCCGTTAGAGAACCGATACCTTATAAATAATAGGATAATGTCTATTTTTTATCCAAAATTTTTTCAGATTCTTTTATATTATCCAAACCTATCGAAATACTAAAAATTAGCGAAATGTTAACTTCCAGTTAATACTTTTGCTAGTAAGATTGACTTGACAACATGATACTAACTTGGAAGAGACTCATGAAGGTCAACATTCCAAAATTTTAGTATTTTAATCTTTAACTAAGAAAAGGGTAGTAAAATTATTAACGATAACGTAAAAATGACTAATATTTTGATACATTATGAAAGATTTGGATAATTAATAGAATTTTAATAGATTTGGAGAATATAAAAGAATCTGAAAAAAATTTGGATAAAAAATAGACATTACCCTAAATAATAATATCATAAATAAAAAATACATAAAATAATAATTTAACATTTTGGTGACTACAATGAAATTTACTTTGTAGTTACCATTTAGTAATATTACATATTTATATATATACTCATTCACAAAACCCTACTGGACAACCGCCCTTCCCTTCTTCTTTCTTCTTTCTTCTTATGCGCCGCTTATTTCTTCCTTTTCTTCTTTCTTTTTCAGTTCTTCCTTTCAAGTTTCTTCTGCCGCAGTGGAGGACTGGAGGGCGCTGCAGTCAGGAGCGCCGGCAATGGGGGGTGCCTTTTCCTCTTTCCTTTCCTTTCCTTTCCTTTCATTTACCATTTTTTATTTTTTTATAAACCCAACCGGCTGAAATGGGAAAGTCGGGTATTCGGCTCGAGTGGTCCGAGCGGTTAACCGCCTCGGCCGCTTGCCGATCGTCCTTAGGACTTGTTCCGGCTAAATAGTTGTGCCGAGCCGGTATGGTGACCGGGTGACGATTTTACCGGTCCAACCGGCCGTGTCGGTTTGACTTTGATAACACTGCTAATTTTTATTAAATAGTATTATATAAATTAGTTAAAACAACCTTTGAACAAAAAAAACAATACACTGTTGACATAGTAGATAAAGATGAGATCAATTAATGATAAAAAAAGTGACAATTATTCTCATTTTGCATTATGATAAATGAGATTAGATCGAGCCGAGTTCATGAGTTGATTGCTTGATTGACCAAATCGAGCTTGTAGATAAGTTCATTAATGAACCGAACTCAAGTCGAGCTCGTGGTAAGAGAAGACAGACTAGGGTTGATGTTATCAACAGTGTGTTTATTGTTAAAATTGGTCTCCGTGTGGGGTCTGTTCTAATTGGGTTTAATTTTTTGTTTCATCATGAAACTTTTGTAATGTGTTTTTTAGGTGCGCTTTCATTTTATGAGCATAATGCCATAATGTTCTGTTCACGAAAAAAAAAAGAGAAAATTGAGCGGGAAAGAGAAATTTGAAGGGAGTGAAAGTTTGAGAGTAGTGAAACATTAAAGATAAACGGTGTTCCATTTTGAAGGAGGGAATGAAAGGTCAAGAGATCTAGATGCAAAAGTTGTTTTATTCAAATTAGAGAGCAATTACTATAGCAATTTTCCCTTGAAATTTATCGCTTTTTAGTATTATACCAAAATTTATAAAGAAGAAGAAAGTTTTAAACCCCTTCACTATTCCCAAAAAAATTCCACCCTCTGTTTCCCCTGATAAATGAAAGTTTCTTCTTACTATAAAAGACTAGTGTTGTTGTAACTTTTGTGGAAGCACCTTATAGCTGTAGTTTTAGAAAAGTATTTTTTTTAAAATTAATTGAGAGTTTGGGTGAAAAACTATTAGAGGTACTTTTTAATATAAGAGGTTATGTAAAATGAATATAAAGAATTTATAATATAAAATATGAATAAAAATTCTAAACAAATAAAAGTAGTCAATATGGATCTTGATGGTTTTTTTATATTAAATAATATGTCTTTAAAATTTAATTTATTTTTAAGATGATATAAATGAAAGAAAATTATATTTTCTGAAATTAAATTAAAATATGGTAAAGGTAATCTTGTATTTTTAAAACAATTTTTCGCATAACCTCCAAATCGAAGCTTCTGCTTTTTTGTCGGACAAAAACACTTTTCGCCTTTTTAAAAGCCGAGCTTTTATAGGTGTTTGATCATGCTTCAACTTTTGAATCCGAAAAACACTTCTAAAAGTCTGGCCAAACATAGGCAAAGTTCAATACCATGCCGCTTCACTGTAAGAAAACATTTTCAGCATTAGTTTATCAATCGATAATTAGAAGTCAAAGATTTATGGGTTAATATCTTAGTTTGGCCTGAACTATACACAAACTTTCTACTTTGGTCCGTGGTTCCGAAATTGCTATCCTGGCCTAAACTATGTACCATACTTCCTAACTTGGCCCGGAGTCGGGTTTGACCGTCAAATTAGATGGTCAACTCCATTGACCATTAGTCAATTGCCAGCTCACTTGCCACGTCAGCAAGTACAGAATAAAAAAAATTTATTTTTTGAATTTATGTATTAATTTTCTTTTCTAATAATAATAAATGAAATTATTCCTTCCTCGTTGACGTGGAGTTTTTTCCATTTATTATTATTATTATTAGAAAAGAAAATAAGTACATAAATTCAAAAAATAAAATTATGTATTCCGTGCTAGAGCTGACATGGCAAGTGAGCTAGCAATTGATCACTAATGGTCAACTCCATTGACCCGTCTAATTTGACGGCCAAATCCGCCTCCTGGCCAAATTAGGAAGTATGGTACCTAGTTCAGGTCAGGATAGCAATTTCGAAAATCACGAGCCAAAGTAAAAAGTTTGTGTATAGTTCATGCCAAACTAAGGTATTAACCCATGATTTATATAATAATAATAATAATAATAGTAGTAGTAGTAGTAATTTTTTGTTATTTATTGTATGTGTGTTTGCTTTACTCATCAATTGAAAGCAAAATTGATCAAGCCTACAGATTTGAATTTTCATTCCAAAACAGCTTTCCACTCTCTGCACTTTTGTTAGTAAGTTTGGCCTTATTCCATAACAAGATTTAGCAGTTATCATATATTCAACAAAATTGGTAGCAAGGAAAAAATTATATAATTCATTTTAAGCATAAAGAACATATGAATCCGCACTTCTTTTGTCCATATTTTAATTACAAAATTTCCTTCAACATCCTTTTATTTTCCTTTTCCTATATTGTATAAAATCATTCGCATATTGTACCTAGAATAGCCTATTGCCTATATTATCATACTTCAAATTAACTCCTGGCTTATGGTTAATTTGCAGCAGCCTCCAAAACATCAGAAGAACTTCCATTAACAGCCAGCTCACCATCAGGCACAATGAATTCCCTCGGCACCAAGTACAAAGGATTCTTCCTTCCCATGGTGGCTGCAAATGACTCCTCCATGTCGAAATCGTCAACGGCAAGCCCTTCCGGGAGCTCCCAGTTAAAATAGTAGAGCAACTGAGCTACAGGGAGCTCGACATTCGCCATCCCGAAAGCGATTCCAGGACATATCCTCCTTCCGGCTCCGAACGGGATCAACTCGAAATGCATCCCTTTGAAATCGATCTCGCTTCCGTCAAACCTCTCGGGGATGAAGCTTTCCGGATCCTCCCAGGTCCCCGGGTCCCTCCCGATCGCCCAAGCATTCACGATCACTTTCGTCTTCTTTGGGATCTCGTACCCGGCCACCACGCAGTTTGCTTTGCTTTCCCTTGGAAGCAAGAGCGGCGCCGGAGGATGTAGCCTGAACGTTTCCTTGATCACCGAGCTCAAGTACGGCAGGTTCTGAATGTCTGCTTCCGTCACTATCGATTTGCCTTTCATGGCTTCTCGCACCTCCGCTTGAGCCCTCTTCATCACTCGTGGGTTCTTCGCCATTTCTGACATCGCCCATTCCACGGTTGTTGATGATGTGTCTGTTCCAGCTATGAAGAGATCCTGAAATCAAACATTTCACACATTATTACCTAAGATAGTCCATGCCACTACACCAATTACACATAAGAATTTATTTCCTTGTAAGAATTCAAATGAAGTTTATAATAATTTACCACAAGGACGGCTTTAATGTTGGTGCTAGTGATGGGACACTTCAAGCCGCCGCTCCCCTGAAGCCGGAGAAGAACATCCATGAGATCCTCATCCTCCAATTCCACCTCCCCTTTAGCCCTCTTCTCCTCGTGCTGCTTAATGATCTTATCGAAGATCCGATCCAGCCCGTCTCTGATCCTCAAAAGCTCCGATTTCATCCCCGTAAGCCCCTGAAGAAACCCTAGAGACGGGTACAAATCGGTGATGTTAAACCCCGCCGCCGCCCGAACCGCCCCGTTCATCAACCCGACGAATTCCTCCTGATCCATACACTGGTACCCAAACGCGGTCTTGCAAGTAATCGTATTCGTAAGGGTGAGAACCTTCTCGGTTAAATTGACCGGTTCGCCGGCCGAATTCCTCACCGACGCGATCATGGCGGAGACCTCTGCCTCTCGAATCCCGCGGAAAGATTGTGTCTTTCTCGGACCCAGAAGCTCGGTTAAAGAAATTCGCTTCATTTGCTTCCAGTACTCGCCGTGAGGGGAGAAGGCGATGTCCTGGCTCCCCCACGTGGCGATCTCGGAGGCGAGGAGGCGGGGCCGGTCGGCGAAATTGAGGTCGTGGGTCTTCATGATTTCTTGGGCCATCGCCGGGGTGGAGACGACGGCGGCGGAGATTTCGCCGAGCTGGAGATGGATCAGCGGGCCGTACTCGGCGGCGAGGTTTCGGAGGGCTTGGTGCGGGAGCGCGCCGATGAGGTTGTGTAGGTTGCCGATCAGGGGAAGCTTGGATGGGCCTGGAGGGAGCTGGGTTTTGGGTTTGGTGGGCTGGGATTCGGATTGGGCCTTCTGGCAGGAGATTCTTGGTGAGCCGCGGTGGAGGCGGTGGGGAATGGAAGGCTGCGGCGGCGGTGGGTTGTTGGTGCCGCCGGTGAATGTTGTTCTCAGTGGGGTGAATTGGAATTGGAGTGACGCCATTAGTTTTGTTTTTGCTTTTTGGTTAGCAGAGGAGGAGGAGAACAGGGGAGGAACAGAGATAGTTGCGATTTGCAAATGGTGGGATTGGGGTTTCCTAAATAGAAGAATGGAAGGGACTGAGTTGGGGATTCTGGATGGCGGCTATTTTGGTAGTTGAGCACGTTTTCTTTCGTTTATACATGTGAAAAGAGAATATAACGACAATGGAGCTTTGTGGTTTCTGCATTCTATGGCAGCTGCAGGGGAAATGGCTACGGTCTACGGGATAAGTGAAATTCTAAATACTGTCTGACTGTGATTGCATGCAATTGGCAATTTGGTATTGCAGTCTACTACATTAAAAGTGATTATGAAAATATTTAGTATTTGTTTCATTGTATGCAATTTTAGGGAACGGCTACGGTGCTAATTGTACAATAGTTAGCACCGTCCTAACCAAGGAAAAAACTACTACTAGTTTGAATTAGTAGTGATTTAGCTTAGATGTTGTATTGATTTTATAATAATCCGTAGTGATTTTTGCTAGTTATCACGGTGCTAGCCCCTATAAGGGTTAGCACCTAATTCCATCCCACAATTTTACAAATTTTGGATATGCCAATTACATCCAACTAACCGATCCATGGAAATTGAGTGCATGGTCAATTGGTACAATACAAACTCGTCTCCTATATGAAATTTTGCATATTCCAAACTTACGTTGTTCCCAGTATTATAACTCGATAACTGATCATTTGGATTAAGAAATAACTTATTCAAATACTCTTTATTACTCCTAGACAATGTTTTGTTGCAAATATTAGAATACCAACTAGGGATGGCAATTACCCACCCATGGGTATTCTTGCCCAAATCCAATTATACCCATATATTATGGGTAGGGTATGGATTTATTCTATATAGGTTTGGATAGTACTTGGGTAGGTGGATTTGGATTTGGATTTTGTTTTCCATGTGAAAATGGATATGGGTTGGATATGGGTATCCATCACTTTGGACCTGTTTGTAAATGTTTATTGATTTAGGTACTAAATGTAAAACAAAAAAAAATTGAAGTATCAAATTATAATTTTTGTATAAAGTTCAGGTACTAAATAGTAATTTGAGATGTAAAATTAGCAGCGAAACCTTCCACCGGAATTTCCTCCGTCGACCTGTCTCTCCGCCAGTTCGCCGGCAGCCGGAAACGTCACTGGTGACTCTGGGAGTCTGAGACCCGATTCGCCGGTGAACCTGGAGCGTGCCTCAACTTCGTCGGAGCCGGAAAACGTCGCTGGTGAAGCTGGGAGTCTGGGACCCGATTCGCCGGTGAACCTGGAGCGTTGAAAATCATCCACAAAACAGAGCAATCGATACCATACTCTCTTGCTTTCTTCTTCTCTAAACTCTCAATCCAATAGAAACCATGTCTTGTTGCGGAGGAAAGTGTGGGTGCGGCTCAAGCTGCAAGTGCGGCAGCGGCTGCAACGGCTGCAGCATGTACCCCGATCTAGTCGAGACCTCCACCACTTCCACCCAGATCCTCATCGCCGGCGTTGCCCCGGCCAGCATGTAAGTTACCAATTCCTCTGTGATCCTTTGAACCTTATTATTTTCTGAGTTAATCAAAGTAATATTGAATTGGGTCCGAATTTATTCGACTGCGGCTGCAAATGAACAAACCCCCTCTGAATCTCGCTCGGTTCTGGGTGCAAATGAATAAACAAGAAGTTGAGATGTTTGCAAGAGCTTGTTCCTGGATGTCACAAGGTATGATTTTTCCCCTGCCTCATCTGAATGTTTATGTTCATATATGGAATATTTACCTCAGACTTACAGTTTAAGTAATTTGATGATTTGCAGTCAATGGGTATGGCAGTAATGCTAGAAGAGATCATCAACTATGTATGTTCTCTACAGAATCAAGTTGAGGTACTAGCTAGAAGTAGCAAGCATATATCTTGTTTAATGTGATATTGAATGATGTACTGATTTGAACTTCCCTTTGCTTTTTTTTTCTGGCAGTTCCTCTCAATGGAACTAGCAGCAGCAGCTGCAGCAGCAAATAGTGTCAACTTGGAAACACAGCCATCCAGATCAATATCAAGGGCTTCTCTTCAGGTTTACTTATGGAAGCTTGCCTCTTTTTATTTATTCATGTGCAAGGGAAAGACAAAAGGGAAGGCAAAGTACTGATCAGTTGACATTTTTGGCTGAAACAATTGATACTGCAGGGGGGAAATTTAGCTGGGAGAGAAAACTATGGAGATGGTAATGCTAGTACAGCATGGTCAATCTGAACTGTGACAGCATATTATGCCAAAAACAAATGTAGTCAGGAAGCAAATTCTACAGCCAGTGAGGGTACATGAAAACAAGCCCACATGAACATTCCCTAGAAATACCAAACAATGTTTGCATTCAGCTTTTCTTAACCCATTAATCATAACTCGATCATATTCCTTCCATACCTCAGACCACTGCTTTGCAGAAGACCATGACATACGACTAGAAGGCACACTATGTTGGTCTGGATTACTAGTCTCATGATTCATTGAGAGATTATCATCATTAGTTTCTGAAGCCATGTTTCCCTAGAAATACCAAACAAGCAACAAGCAATCATTCAACGAAATAGAGATTACAGTAAACTATATATTTCTAGTTCTAACTTCTACCTCTTTCAACTTTTAGAACCAGAGAAACACGTCTTACCTCGAAAGTGAAGTGGGAGTAATTAGAACCAACTCCAAAAAGGCAGACCGCAGACAGGAAAAGCATTAGAAGTCTACAACTGGAAGCCTCAAGAAGGAATTTGATGAATCACAACTCACTGGAAAAACAACAAGTGTTAGATTGATAGATTACTTCTAATAATGTAGACTTCAACAAACAGAGACTAACTATTTGTTGTTCTCGTCACTCCTATGGTTATAGTACTGGACGACGCCTAGCTGATGCTGCTTTGGATTCAAACAACGAGCTATAATGTGGTACCAAATTGTTGCTTGCTAAATGGATATGTTCTTCCCTTCCTTTTTTTTTCTCGTTTTGTTTAAAGCACTTTTGCCCAGAACTCAGCATCAGCTAGGCAGTCACAGTTGAAACAAGAATAAGAGCAACAACTGGCTTATGAATAAATGCCCAGAACTCACCAGAGCCGACAGAAACAGAGAGGCTAGGTATGGAGGAGGTGGCGGGTGGCCGGTCATCGATGGTGGAGACAGAGAGCACAGCTGGCCAAATGGAGGACGATAGTGATGGCAGAGGGGATAGCGCAAGTGAAAGAGGTGATGGGTTCCAAGGCTCTGCTCTCTTCTCGATCCGAAGAGACAAACGGAGGCAGTGGGTTACAAGGCTCGAGCTGGATCTTGGAGGAAGGGATCAGATCTCTGGTGAGTCGCGATCTCTCACGAATCAACTGCGTCTCGAATCGGAGCTCAGAGGGGTTTCGAATCAAGCTGCGTTTCAAATCAAGCTGCGGTTCGAATCAACTGCGTCTCGAATCAGAGCTCGGAGTGGGTTTCGACAACGATGGCGGAGCGGGTGCGATCTAGTGGGTCGGAGCTCGGAGGGGATAACGATGGCGGCGATGGCCGTGGCGCCGACGGCGGTGGCCGGTGGGTAGTAGACTACAGAGACAGGTCGGAAAGAAAGAAGTCTCTCGACTGAGATGGAAGTGAAAGAGAGAAAGTCTGAAAGAGAATCTCGATTTTTTTTATTTTTTGTTTTTTCATTTTTAATTATTTGGATTTGGATTGTTTTATCCAAATCCATGGGTAAACCCAAAGTAGATCCAATATAATGGGTATGGGTTTTGACCCATCTGACTTCACCCATTTGAATTTAACTTGCACTCCAAACCCAACCCAACAAGGTTGGATAATTAAATACCCATGGGTATGGGGATTTTTGCCATCCCTAATACCAACTCGAGCCCTTCTACTATGCTATAAAGTATTGGTGCTTTAATGTACAACTTGAAGTTGTACCATAACATTAAATGTATAAGTTCAAGTTGTACCATAAATGAATTTGTACTCTTATGTTATGGTGCGACTTTACAACTTGAAGTTGTACAATCACATAAAAGTACAAGTTCAAGTTGTACCATAAAGAATATGTACAAAACAATGTAGGTATAATCTAAAACTGTACCGTAACATTGAATGTACAATTTCAAGTTGTACCATAAAAGTAAAAACCTATAGCACCAATACTATATACTATATAGTATTGTAAAATTCCTATACATACTCTACGTAGTCTCCCATTACGTTTTTTTCTCCAATATTGGAAATAAATAATCTGATTTAATTGATTTTTCTCCGTTAAAATCAGCGGGCCGCAACGATGGATGTATTTTTCCATCCATAGGAAAGGGATGAGACGATGAGTCAAAATGAGATTCGCCGGGTTGGTGACAGAGTGAGAGTACTAAGTTAGTCAGCTATCATCGCCATCTTCAGAATTGCCGTCGCCCATTCTTGCATGGCGGCTACGTTTCCATGATTTTCCTTGAAACTACAACTTTTTTTTTTTTTTTTGTCTCGTTCCTCCACGTGAGGTCATTTGCTATATCTGTTGAAGCTAAATATGGCAAGGCCGTGTTCATACTTCACAGTCTGCAGTCATCGAATTGTATGTTGGACGTTTTGCAATTGTTATATAAATGTGTAATGTGTTGATAATTTTGGGACTAAATGCCATCTCTTTGATTCAACGCTCGTAGAGGCGTGGAGCATTCACCATACAAATCAACAATTGATCATCTAGTAGTTGAGTCAGATATTAGAATTAGTGGTGATTGGTGAATACTTGAATCATTTGAAAATTCTTTTATTTCCTGCTAACGTGATAAGTTCCCAATTTTAGGACGAGATTATTAAATCTTTCAAAAGAATTATCATCAAGTCAACTACCATTGGACCCAGCCTGTTGACCGAGAGAGGTTAGACCAAAAATATAGTATACAATAATGAATATGATAGATGCTCGGAAATGCATGTAACATTTGTCTATGCATAATGTGCTTAGAATATAATAAAAATAAGATAAATATGATCTAAAAAATAAATATAATTATTCAATAGAAAACGAATACATATTATATCTGTCTTTCAATGCTTAAGCAGGCTATATAATTGAATATTATAGGTACTTCTCATAATACATAAATAATCAATTTTTTTCTTTTTTTTTCTTTTAGTTTTGGGGTTAATTGCATGGTTGGTCACTGAGATTACAAAAAATGTTCAAGTTTGGTCACTCAAAATATTTAAATACATTGGTGGTACTTCAGTTTAAGGAAACAGTTCACGTATGGTCACTCTCCGTCCAACTCTGTTAACTTTGGTTGATGTGTCAGTCAACTCTCAAAGTTGACCGTTAACTTAGTGACTGGCAACTAAAATATTATTAAAAATAAAAAATATTTTATATTTTCCATCTCATTATTACATATATTATAAAAAACCTAATTTTTTCTACAAACCCCTCATACCCTACCCGATCGAACCTCCACCACCGCCGCGGAATCCGACCACCGTAGCAACACTCCGCACCACCACCACCACTCGACTCCGACTCCTGCCCCATCCCCGTCCCCGGCGCCGGATTCAATCGTCCACCCAGAAGAAGGTTGAACCGGATAAAGAAACTGATGTTGTCCCCAAAGCTTGCGTTGACGAAGGTAACGGTGAAGCCGTGGGAGGAGGGCTGTTGGGGATTCGTAATCGTCGACGGAGTAGAGAGCGGACCAACTTTGGAATGGTGAATTGGGATCTTCGTGAGCCGAAACGAAGTAGAGGCGGCGATTCCTGATGATGGGTCTGTCGACGAAAAGGGTGTCGCCAAAAGCTAGTAGTGGTTTGGGGTTTCCGTCGCCGGCTGCAATCCGGTAAATTCAAGGGGAGCCGGTTCGCTTGGAGACGAAAACGATGGAAGGATTATTGGGTTCTTCGTCGGTGTCGGCGAATTGGGCATTGAAGTTGACGGAAATGCCATCGGTGAGGCGGCGGTTGGTAGTGGAAATGGAAGGAAGGAGCTGGCAGGAGAAGACGTCGAAGTCGTACTCGTTGCGGCCGACGGTAAATAAGAGGATGGTGCCTTGGGCACCTGTTTACATTTGTACGTTTGAAGCCTTGGTGACATCTGACAATTGAAGCGGCTTGAGGAAGAAGTCTTGAGCTCCTTGTTGAAGGCAGGTGTTGATTCTGGAGGGTACATTCTCCGAAGACATGATGACAACGGGAGTAGAGGTGGCAATTAGGATCCAAATCCATGAATCCAATCCATCCACCAAATTATCCACCTAATCCAATCCATTTAAATCCAATCCATGTGATCCAAATGACAATTACGATTTAGTACCTATATTTTTTATATTTTACATTTTGGTACCTAAATTTTTTCATTGAGACATTTTAGTACCTAAACTTTTCAAAATTTACATTTTGGTACAAGCCTTGGATGTCATTTTAATCCATGGATCAATCCATCAATCCATTGGATCTAATCCATTTGATCCATGGATCCACCAATCCAATCCACGAATCCGATCCAATTGCCACCTCAAAACGGGAGTGTCCTTGAAAGACTCGAAGTCCTTAATTCTTCTGAGGAGGTCGTAGTCGCTCATTCCAGGCATACAGTAATCGGTAATGATCATACTAATGTCATCGTGTGCACTCTCCTCCCCATCTTCACTACTGTTGTTGTGGTTCAGCCCAAGAAACTCCAATGCCTTGCTCCCATAATCAACTGCCGTCACTGTCAAATTTTTCGACAAAAACTATTGGTCAGACAGTTTTTCATCAATCATTAGATTTAGAAAGGAGAGGAAAAGGGTTAGTTAGTTTGCGTACCATGGTAGGAGGAGGTCTTGAGGAGCCTCTCAATCAACTTTCTGTCGATGATACTGTCATCAACAACAAGAACATGGAACTGGTGGTCGTAAGCAAGATGACGAGCTTCGGCGACAGTCATACCCATTCTGATGAAACAGAGGGAGAGAGTTGTAGCAGCAAGAGAGTAGGCTTCTGTTGAGTTCGTGTAAGAGATCAGTTGCTTGGAACACACTGATGTCTCTTCTTTTTTGACTAAAACAGCTTGTAAAAAAAACTAATTTATTGAGTTGAAAAGGAAATTACAGTGGAATGGTTTTATACAAAGAAACTCTCTGAATCATGCCAAATGAAGTTGGCACTTTGAAACTCTCAAACAACAACCTACTTCCCAAGCCTAATTCACCCAGATCACACTCTGTGAATCAAGCTACTAAAGTAGTATACTAATGGACCCAAAGTAGAAGAAGAACTCTCCTGATTCTCTCTCTTACTACAGACTGTCAAGTTCTTATTGAAGGCAAGAAGAAGATATTTATACTAAGAGTGGGAATTGACCGTTGCAAGAGGATTGAGACGCTCTGATCTTCATCATTTCCTGTCATGGAGTCGATGGTGTCTGTGCACCATCACCGATGATCTCCTTGGAGTTTTGCTGCCGCTCCTTGTAGATGGGAGGCTAGGTTTGAGCAGAACGATAATGCTAGCTGGAGGAGAAGACTTGGAAGGACGACTCCTTGAGTGGTGCCGTTGAAGGTGAAACGTCGTCGTGTGTCCAAAGGCAAAATGTCATCATTCTGATAGAGTGAGGAAGACGACACCTTTCATCAATTTCCCCCTTCGTCCGAGAAGTCTGGGATATCCTGAAACAAAGGAACAACAAAAGAGCAGCCAACAGAACTCGAACAGATAGGACCAAATAACAGTAGCTACTTTTATATTACTTAAAATAGGAGAGAATTACAAAAGAATTCAGGGAGAAGAACAACTACGAAAGGAACCAAATCCTTTTTAAAAGAAAGTTCCCCCTGAACACTAGCATACACACGAGGTGCACCAGAAAACTACCTAAAAAGAACTAGAGGCAAAAGGAACTACGAAGCTAAGGAAGAATTCCCCCTAAGAACAAGCAGAGATTTTAGGAGGCAGGAGAAGAAGGTCCTTCTGGGGCAGATGCTGCTGAGTCATCTGAAGAAGAGTTTCCATAAGAGACTGTAAACACTAAGTTTTCATTCTTGCTAGTTTCACCAGCAACAGATTTTCCCTTTTTGGTGGACACAAGCTTTGGTCGGGGACCCAGAATGGAAGAGGATGGAAGTGGAGGAGGTGAGGGGGAAATGTCAGTAGGCAGGTCTAAAATCATCAGCACATTGAGGGCACCAACATACATGGTGTGGGACACACTCCGGTAATCTGATAAGTCGATCCCCAGGTTGACCAGCAGTCGAGTAATGATGGATCTGAATGGGAGCAGCCCTTGGTAATGCTCATCCCCAGCTGGAAGAAGGGTTGCAAACATCAAACTGGAGTAGTCCAACTTGCGTCCTGCAGTTGCACTTGCAATGATCCAAAGATCGAGAGGCAGGACAACATCTAGGTTGTATGATCAAGGAAAGAAAACGTGAGTGATGAAGTGATGGAAGATCCTCAATCGTGGAGTCAGCCAGCTGATAGGAATCGGCACATCCGTCCCTCCTGTTGGTTCAGTGGAGAAGTTTGCATATTCAGTGGGTAGAATGAAATATTGTTTCCAGAATTCTGAGGGATGGGCTATATCGATCCCTTGAACTGGGAACCCAAGAATTCCATTCAGAGCTCCTACTAG